GGGAGGTTTAAAATACTGCAGCTATTTTTGACATCGGGGGACAAAACTCCATCAAGTGCCATTAAACCACCATTACATTTTTTTCTGATCTCAAAACTTTTCCTATAACTCGAAAACTGTTTTACTTTCTTTTACTTTTGACTTTATATTCGGATTTAGCGAAAAATTTTACAATAGGAATGTTGGCCAAGCGCCACAGATCAGATTTCTTGTAAACTAGTGTTATTGGGTTTGTGGGTCTTTTAGACTAATGGCTTGTGTTCTGGTTCAAAATATCAACCTTGAAAAACACTCCTAGCATAAAATATGTTGTATATGAGCTTATAAAGTGATTAGCCGAACTTTAGTGGTTACACCACCTAAATTGCCGCGTGGCTCGAATTGTTACCATTTTTGCCCACTGTGCGCCGGGTACTCAATGTTCGGATTCGCACGTACTTGGCCTTCTTTACTTGTTGTTATAATAATTAGTGGCCTCTATGTATATGCATTGTTTTGTAGTATTAGCAAGGATTTTACAGATTTATTTAAGAGGTTATAAAAAAATATTTTTTTTTGATGAAAAGAGAAAAGAATAACACGAGATAAAAAAAAGTCTTAAATTTTTAAATATTAAATGTTCGTAATATGATAATTTAAGCCAACGCAAAATGTGGAAATTTTGGACTATTTTCATAATCACCAATTTGGTAAGTCAAAATAAGTGTTGGTATCAAATATTTTTGTTTGTTTTAATAAAAAAATAATTTGTTATATTTCTTCGACTTACCATGACTTCTAATTTTGTTTTCCTTTTTTTCAGGCTGTTCATGAAAGTGGCGCCATACGCCCAGCCACCACCAATGATGCGCAAACTAAATGCGGTTCAGTATTATGTGAAATGGTCTCCGAGGTGTTTAGTAAAGCCAAGTTGAGTTATGGTTATAATTACGTGCATACAATACCAGCGGGAGCGATGAATTTGACAATCAAACAGTTATCGCGAAGTGACAATTTATTGGGTGAGAGAAAGAAAAAAAAAAAAAATTATAACTTAAAGCATTCAAAGTTTTTCTAATCAAGAGCCACTAGGGCTGTTATAAAAAAATCAGATACACGTTCTAATATTAATAGGTATTTTTTCTTCACATATCACCACAGCACTCAAAACCACCGACGACATTTTTCTCATCAACGGCAATAGTCGCGCTTCAGAGGGCGGTATATTTGAGTATAACGACGACACCTACGATTACAATCGCGAATTAAGCACAATCACCTCCAAAGGACCAATTACGAAGCCTGTCGTCCTACTGGTAAGCCTGCCTTTTGTTCACCTCACTTTGGCTTAGACCAAAAAAACTTTCCACTTTTATCTTCCAGCTCTTTGTGCGCGGTCACAACACTGGCGTCAAATACGACTATATAATTCCGGTGCCTTCGGCCTCCATAACGGAGGAGGAAGAGCTGCAGTCGCAGTGGAACGAGGTTGGTCAACCACTCGACGAGGTGGACGATAACAACATCGATGGCACCGTGTCGGCACAAATCGCGCGCGCTCGTGATCGTAAACGCCGCAAGTTCTCTTGGAAGTTGCTCGGCTTTGGCGAGTGCAATCGCTCGTGCGGACCCGGTATACAACCACCCATCTTCCGCTGCATACGCGACTCACCGACTCGCTACTATTCGCCCAAACGCTGCGCCTTTGTCGAGAAGCCGATCTTTAGTGAGGACATTTATCACTGCAATCGTGGACTGTGCCCAGCCTACTGGCGTGCTGGCGACTACGGTGAATGCAAGTGTGCCGATGGTGAGGCGGAGGGTGTGCGCACGCGTTATGTGCAATGTGTGCAGGAACAGAATAATGGCAAGATTGGCGAAGTCTCTGAGGAATTGTGTGAGCAACAGAAGTTGCCGGAGTTGAATGAGACTTGCAATTGTCCGAAGTTTAATCGGCGCAAGATTTACGCACGTGGACCAGATAAGACGTCACGTATCTTCTCGCGTTTAATAGGCGCGCCTACACTGGTGCGTAGCGTTTACAACTCAACCACACCGTTGCGTCGACATCTGCGTGACGACCGTGTCGATAAGGCGGGTGTGTGGCTGATGTCCGAATGGAATCAGGAGTGTTCAACTGATTGTGGCGCAGGTTTTGAACACCGTTCGATTTATTGCGATCGCACGCCACCCTACACAGATCTGTGCGATTTGCGCTACACGCCGGAACAGAAGCGTATTTGTAGCGGCCGCCAGCAGGCAGCAGCTTGTCAGCATGGCACATGGTTTGCCTCGGAATGGAGTAATTGTACGGGAGAATGTTTCAATTTGCAGCGTAGGCGTGTGGTGCTATGTCTGCGGGATGGTGTGGCGGTGGATGAATCGGAATGCGATTTGTTGTTGCGACCGCGCGCTGTGATGAATTGCACGCACAAGGAGGTGACATTCTGTGGACCAAAGTGGCACTACTCGGAGTGGTCGGAGGTGAGTGTCGTTAGAGGGATGAAAAGGGCGCAAGGGATTGAGAGAGTAAAAGAGGGAAGTCTCCTTTGCGCGAATCGCAATTTTGAAAGTGGTTTTATAGAATAAACTTTTCGCTTTTTCGATATTATTACAAATTTTTGGACTTATTTAATTTTTCAATGCTTTATGCTTGCATGTAAATATAGTGCTCCCGTTCTTGCGGTGAAGGCGTTCAACGTCGGTATGCCAAGTGCCTGGAATTTGATTGGAAGCAAAAGGCGATGGTCGAATCAAGCAATTGCAAATATTTGGAACGTGAACCGGTCTATGGAACGTGCAATGTGCAGAAATGTGAAGGTAAGCACTTACATGTCTTAAGTTAATGTTAAGTTATTAAAAAAAAAAAATTTTAAGACAAGCTTTTATTAAAGAAACCTGCGCCGACTAGCGGGTTAAGCTAAGTTTTAAGTTTCACTAGCTTATCGGGAAGTTGGTAATAATCTATTTCCAAGATTTGATTGTAATGTAATGTAAATGTTTTGGGTGTAACAGAAATTGACACCGCGACCTTTTGTATCCCTATGATGGTTCTTAACCCTGACGGCAGCTGATTATCGCCCGTCAGATAGCCAACAAGAAACTTGATATCGGCTCTATTCAGAAGATGCATGCATATCTTTCTTAGCGAAAGTACTTGCTGCCTTCTGAGTTTACCCACGATTCTATTTAAAACCTTGAGGAGGACCAACTGAGTTCGCAAAACGGTTCCGGCCCTACAAAAACGGGCGATGAGCCTTCCCCTGCCAATTCGTCGGCGGTCTCGTTACCCACGATCCCGCAGTGTCCTGGTACCCAGAACAGTAGTACCGTGTCCCATGCTGACAAGTGAATAGTGTCAAAGCACTCCTTGATGAGCTTGGAGGTGATCGTCCTATTGGAAAGTGCCCTTTTGGCCACCTGGCTATCTGAAAATATAACTAGAAACTCTGGCACAAATCGAGATTGCTAGTACCTCGGCCTGAAAGAGCGTGGACCAAGTACCCATTGCAATAGAAAGTTTGGCGACAGGTCCAAAGATGCCCGCTCCTGCTCTGCCATCCATCTTTCATCCGTCTGTGTACCAGTGTATATATCAAGGATCTAGTTCAGGTAAACCATTTGACCAGATATCTCGGTCTGGAATTCGGAACTGAAATTTCCTTCCAAAGCATATTTCCTTTGGTCTTATTTTAAGACTGTCACAATTTTGCATTTGCAAATTTCTCGAAGCTGCTGCTGCAGGGACAAGAATGTGGAGTAAGGTCCAGCCTAGCAGCGACTCAAGACTATTCAAGCACTGTTTCTCGAAGGCTAATCGAAGCAATGTTCAGCTTGTACCTTCTTGTAAACGGTACCACAACGGCCAATTGCGGGTTTATGCGAGGCCCTAATTGGCACACCAGTTTGATGCCACGCGTAGAGCTGCACTCCTGACGTGTGATTCGGTGCTGCCGAATTTTCCGGTCACAATAATTTGATTACACTTCGGTAGGTGAAATTTAATAAAAGATAAAAGATAATTAGGGGTGTTTTTTCTAACTGGGAAAACGTTGGAAAATTCCGAAAATTTTACTCTACTGTCGAAATTTGGGGTTTCTAGTTAAAATATTTATATAATAAAAAGTGAAATAAAACTTAACCCTTGAGGATTTCATATATTTACAAGAACGTACGTAATTTTATTCCTTTTAGTTCAAAAAACCTATCGAAATGGTTATCGATATATCTATTAATATCGATATAATATTGATATCGTTTAAATACATTTATCGGCACATGCATACACAAATTTATCCATACATTTACAGATATAAATTTTGTTCAATATGAGTAGATTATCAATATAATTAAATGCATTTAATAGGCATTTTTCGATACACTCATGGATATTTTCATCAGAGTTTTTATCGTATACAACGCGGGACAAAAACAACAAAAATTCCAAACACACGAAGCATTCAATATACTCTCGAAACTGCGGGCCAAATATGGTAAAACTGTGTTTTTAATTTTTCGCTCTGACGTCAGGATTTTTTTTACAGCACTTCGTAGTTTCAAGGATATGATTTCTTACAAAAATTATTGAAAAAATTCCGCGTAATGTAGAGTAAAAATATGGGTACCAAATGAAAGAGAAAATCCCGTAGAATTAAAAAAAATTAAATTATGATTTTTTGGATTACAAGGACCAAAAGCTATTGCAAATTAATTTAATTTTTTCAGTCATTAACATAAAATTTTTCCAAAAATATTTATTGAAAAATTTCAAGGATATTCAAGGATAAAACTTTAAAAGGACATTTTATACCTAATCGTCCTTATTCACCAAAAAATTTTATCGGCTTTAGTTCTACAGAATTTTTTCGCTTATTTGCTACCCATATTGGTTTTCTAAATTGCACTGAATTTTTTTAAAATAATTTTTTAAGTAATCATATTTTTAAAATTTCGAAGTTCTTTAAAAAATCCTGACGTCCGAGAGAAAAAATAAAAACGCAGTTTTATTATATTTGGTTCATGTTTTCGGATGGTTCGGGTGGGTTTTTTGTGTGTAAAATGTACTATCGATTTTTTAACCGATTTATGCATTAATATTCCTCGATATCAACATTAATATCACTCGATATATGCATTGAAATTGATAACGATTTATACACAGGTCCGAGAAATGCATCTACTTGTTGTCGATACTTAATGATATAATCTCATTCGATATCGTCCTACATATAGTTCCTTAATAACACACCTATTGCTGTTGTTATTCTGTATTCGTGTTTCTATTGGCGAGCAAGACAACGGGAAGTCGAATTTTTCTGTAGGTTTCGAAGTCTAAAAAAGCGTTTTTATTTATACGCATTTACGGTTGTTAGATATACATAAGTTTACATTTTAGAAACGCTCTTATTTAATTCTTCTGCTTTCCTTTCGCAGAACTCAACACACTATTCGATGTGGAACGCGATACTTTGAAGCCTGTTGAACCACCAGCCAATTGCAAAGATGATGTGAGTAATTGCCAGCGAATAAATCGACAACGATTGTGTAAGTTGCACTACTACAAAACTTATTGCTGTGCAACATGTAGTGGCTATGCTTAGAGGGCTTGCGAGAGTTGTGCCGTGGAAAATAATAAATTGAAATGTGTATGCAGAGGCGGGAGGAGACAGAGCCACACGGTAGCAGCAAACGCATTCTAAATACGGTAGCATTACGCATTTAAGTTAATTGTATTCATTAATTAATTACTTCTACAGCAATAACAATATGCTAACATTAGCATTGAAATAAATGTTTGTAGCCAGTTTAGTTGGTAAGATGCATGCAGGCATAATGGAAATAGAAGTATGAATGAATTTGGTTTTTTGAGTTTATTTAATTTTATTTAGAACATAAAAAGTTTTGATCGTATGATAAATAAACGGAAAAGAAAACGTTCGTAATTTTAATGCCTTCGGCGACTAATAATACTAATAGATAATTTTTAATAAGTAGAACATTTTTTTACTTTAATATTTTCCTCAGCAATGTCTAATGCCTTTATGATTTTTTTATCACATTCGATCGATATTTTATGACTGTTTTCGATTAATATTGGATTTTAATATTTTTTGATTTGCTTTAAATTTTTCGATCGAATCCCTCTTGAACTTTTTAAGTTCAATTTAATCGAAAAAGTTAATATGATTTTTTATCGATTGTAAAAACATAAGTTTCAAAATATAGTTTAAATATGACTGGAAACCAGAGTGAAAATCAAGGAATAACGATTATGTATAATCGAAATAAAACCATAAAAGTCCATACAAAAATATCGAAAAATTATCGAAAGAACAGAAACCCAACTACAACGATAAAATAATTAGGGAGTTCACAAGGTGTTGTATACTGTCGTACTGTTGTATGTCATAAACTTTAAACGGTTAAAACTATACTTAAGGAATTCGCAAGCTAACATAAAAGTTTTATTATGAAATTTCACACAGTTAAAAAATAGTTGGTGGTGATTTCAAGTCCTGTAAACATTTATTTAGCCTTTAAAAACTTTACAACATACGACAATACGACAAGTACGACACCTTGTGAACCACCCAAATGTTCTTTGAGCACGTGTTGATTTTTTTTAATATTCACAATGTTTTTCAACGGTTTTTTTTTTGTTTTTTTTTAATATTGTCTAAGCTTTAACATAAACCATATACCAAAAATAAAAGTTTCAAAATTTAGGAAAATTTAATAAGTTTGCATCAAAATTTTAAGGCTTTTAATCTGAATTTTTAGAAGATTTTTGGGAATACAGTTTTTTCCCCATAAAATTTTAGTGCAATGAAGTGCAAGGTAGATTTTTAATATTTTTTTTTTTAATTTTGCCTTAATTTTAAAACTTTTATTTATATTATGGCTTTTGTTAAAGCTTGGACAGTATTTCTGTAGAAATATAAGATAAAACAAGTAAGAAAGTCTAAGTTCGGGCCGGGCCGAACATTAAATACCCGGCGCAAATATTAGATATATGTTTTTCACCTTTCCGAAACCTACCGCTAGATGGTAAGCCGGGGTGTATCAATTTTGAGTAAATTAGCGTCCTTAAATTTCGAAATATTGAAGTTTCAAGCATTTCTAAAATTTACCGTTATATGAAAAGCCGTCCGATTTCAATAATTTTGATCGTTTTGCTTTTATGTGGCAAGCACAATAACCACACCGAGTGTGGTACAAATTGGTAGAACAGTTACCGAGATACATATATGTGTGGGTGTCACGCCCATTTTCCGAAATTTTATCATTAACGTATTTCTTGGTAAAAAATTGTTGCAAGGATCAATTTTGAATAAATTAGCTTTAATATTTATTGATTTATCGAAGATTTCGTATTTCTCTAAATTACCGTTATATGGTATGTGGGCGTGGTTATTGTCCGACTTTTATGGACTTGGGCGAGCCTAAGATATTGACCAAAAATTGTCATATTTCACACAGATTGTTTTAGAGATTGCTGTTACCAATCAAAGTTCTAAAAAATCGGATTTTCGGCCCACGCTAATATACATGCATAGTTTTTTTTACAACAAATAACTTTTATTGTTCGTCTTTATTGAACACGAGCAAGTTTCAAATGACCAAAGCTTCATCCAAAAATGGATATGGAGAGTTTCATATACAGATGTATGTACATACAGTCAACGTCAAAAATATGCATACCCTGACGTTTTGACGATTTTATTTCTTTATATTTTCCATTTCTAATGAAATTCAAAATTCGGACATTGTACCCATTTTATTTTTACTACAAAAAATCGGAACCAAACTTTCATTTAAATGATTAAATTATGCTTGTTTCTACATTTAAGAACTTAATACATAGCTTATACTTTTCATCAGCTAATAGAAAAAAACAGGAATTGATATAACAAATAATAATATTTTCTACTAAGGAGCTTAAGAGGAAAATTCAAAAATATTCGTGAGCGAAAAAATTAAAATTGAATTTAAAAAATAACTCTTCATCAAGAAAAATTATTTATGATTATAAGTCAGAAGTACTATTAATTACAACACATATATAACAATTTAGTGTTAAAATGATTTAGGTTTTTTTTAAATATTTACAACGAACATTGCGACTAAAAAAACATTTAATGCCATGTAAACTATGTATGCACTAAATATTAATAAATAATTGAGACATTCACAACGATGTCGTAAGTGTCGTATTGTTGTATGTCGTAAACTTTAAAAGCTTAAATGAATATTTAGAGAACCTGAAACCACGACCAACTATTTTTTTAACACTCCGAAAATACATAATATGACTTTGATGGCACTTTGCGAATCCCCGTAATATATATGTTTTTGGCGTTTGAAGTTTACGACATACAACAAATCCACACTTACGACACTGTTGTGAATACCCCAAGTATATCACTTACGATTACAGTATCTTAGCGGTTACTAACCACATACATATAGAGCCATGCCAAACATATTTATTGCATTTCTACGCGTTTATTTGTAATAAATCAAATTATAAAAAAATATAATATTTTAAACAAAAAAAAAAAACGTTTAACTCAAATATGCGTTTCACTTTCTATCCATCGCTAGTCACAAGCCTGTCCATCTTGCCCCACTCAATAATTTGCAATTGCTACAAGGTGGTCTTAAAGTGTACTGTTACTTTGCCAAATTGGCGCGCCATCAAAATTGCAACAACAAAAACGTGGGTTTATTTTAGTTAAGTGATGGCGGGTGGCATTAATAGTTCGATATTGTTAGTCCCACGAATTGTCTACAACGCTTTGTAGGTCTGTCTTTTATTTCATTGTAGCATTTTAATATGCAATTGCTTGCTGCAATTATTGATCACTTATTATTGCTGGTGTCATGGCAATAAAAATACAGCGACACTTGTATGAGCTTTGTACGTTAAACAATTATTTAATTGTTCACGCGTGTCTGCAATTGTTTGTGCGGGCGTTCCGAGTTAGTAAGTAGAGTAAGCGGTAGAATAAAAAAGAACGATTAAAAATGAACTGGTGCTTAGAAAGCCAAAGTGCCTTACACAATTTTCAATATTTTCATACTTTTACACTGATCACATTTTGAAGTCATCTTAGGCTGATAAACGCTGGTTTTTGTCTCTTGACCTCTTGCATTGACTTTAGTTACTATTAAACGCTCATCACTGAGTTTAACTTGATTGGATTAAGTGTATAATTATTTGATTAGCAATGAAGAGAAAAGAGGAAATAAAATACATAACACCAAGGCATCGAAGTTAGTTATATGGAAGTTTTTAATGCAAGCAAAAGAAAATTCAGAAAAGAAATCTAAAAATCTATACATAATATCGGTAAGACTTTTTTATAAAGCAGACTACGTATGGCTCTAAACTCGAAACGGGGGTTGGAGGAAACATTTTCTGCACAGGACTGAAGCTATACAATTATTATGTGTTTTCATTGTCAAAAGACATTAGCAGCTCTTTAACATCGAGATACTGAGCCTAATTTCAACGCTGACAAATTGGCAAAGAAAGCGGGAACTACCCTAACCGTAAAAAAAGTACACGGTAAGTATACAGGGTGTCCCAGAAGGCGAGGTGAGTAATGCTTCTGTAAATTGACGTAGAAAATTTATGGCCAATTGCTCTAGCTTGGAAAGAATGGCACTTTTTGCCGACTGTACTGAAAAAAAAATGTACTACACTAGTTTGGCAAATAACTTTGAGAGTTGGAGCATTTAATAAGGATTCCAAAATGGTATGCCACTTGCTAGATTGTTCCTTCAATTATTTTATTATTTCAATTTAATGATTTTTGTAAAGAAACTCTGTTTTAAAATTTTTTTCTTAATTACTTAAAACGATTTTAGTGTACCCAAGACTTTCCTTGAAGCCGTAACTGTACTTAATTCTAGTTTGAGTGAGACGGAGAGACTCATTTTACACAGTGTCAGCGAGACAGAGAGTGACGCCTCTTTTACTAATGTGATGGATACAGAAACTCATTCATTTTAGCTTTGAGTTTAGGATTTTTTTTTAATGAAAGTTTGAAATTAAACATCAAATATTGTGGCCTAAAATTTATTACATTTACAACAAATGTTCAAACTGCCTTCCTTCAGCAGCAATGCAAGCTGGAGATCTACTTAAAAAAGATCGGGTTATCAGACGGGCGAGTCTTCCACTATTTACAAATTCAACTGCTTCCATTATTTTTTATCGTAGCTCCGCTAAATTTTCCATAGTTTTTGAAAAACTTTTTCTTTTACTGCTCGAGTATTCCTCATGGCACCTTGTGGCCGTAAGCAATCCGGTAACAACTTTGCAATCCCGCCTTGATGGCCGTAACAAGAAGCGAGTATAATTGAATAAGCAGTTTCGAAAAGGGCACATCTCGCATAGTTTGAGAAATAAATCTTTTTATATCAATGTTATCTAAATGCTGAAATTAACTTATTTAGCTTGAGAAGTTTTCTGTTCGACAGTCAGACTGGCAGTCAGCCTCCATCTGCTATTTCATTACCCTCTATTCTTTTGCGGCCAGCCTGTTAATAGCTTTCCGGCTGCGTAGGACATTTCTAGATGAAATACTATATGAGGTAACTGCCTTAATAGCCACCTGACTGTGTATACGTATTAAGTTTACTCTGAGTTGATGGTCGTTTCCATGGAGGCTAGCTCTGTTGCCATCCTCATTGGGAAAACCTTTGCCATAAATATGCTGCCCCGGTCAGGTAGCCCGCCTAACGTACAGTCCCCGGCTTTATACTACGCCACCCACTCTCGTTATCATTTTAGAGCCATCCGTGAGCAGGTTTCGGGATCTAAGCCATTACTCAATTAAAGCAAGGTGCCATATAATCTGTGCTGCCCGTGCTTTTCGCCCCAATTGTGCTGTGCCCAAAGGATCTGTTATGGAATTCCTCTATGGCCGTCAATCTACCTGAGGACTTAGCAGCATATATTGCCGCGAATAGGTCAATGGGCGGTAAACGGAGGATTATTTCTAGAGCAGTCGGTGGAGTAGAC